CGCAGTGTTCTCCATGATCCAGCGTGTGTCCACGACGTCCCAGCCTTCAGTGGTGTTCCAACCGGTAAGTTGTTCAACGCGAGGCCAAATTGCTCGTGCCTATCCTCCGACTTCAGTGTTTGCCGTTTCCGCAACTGCCGTTTCTGATGTGATTTTGTCTCCTTCTTCCACCGCTTGTGGTCCGGTGTCTGCAGGGTTCGTGGTCGAGGCGACGGGTACGGCAAGAGCGCGGAAGGTTCCATCGAGGCCGGGCTGCTGATGGTCAGTTTCCTCTGGATGGCTCCACCGTGGGGGCGACGGGTGACCGGGCGGATCGAGGACGAGGATGGCAAGCTTGAGGTGTACCCTTTTGGCAAGCTTCGAAATCACTTGAGGCTTGACACCAAGGCTCGGGCTCTTCATCACAAACTCATCCTTGAGTTCTTGATGGGTCTGATGCACACACCTGCGACACGCCGAACGTTCGACACAAGACAAAATAGAAACCGCGCACGACAAAATAGAAACCGCGCGCGAGACACAAACGACCGCGTAACACGCGTCTAGCGATAACTCGCTATTGACTCGACACACACACTCGACATCATGACTCAACATTCACACACAATTATATGCATGAAATATATATTATCCCCATGCCCTCATACCATTCCATACACACACACATTCACGCACACGGACAACAAGCCGAGTGCAAACCGTAGGGTTGCACCAACAGCCTCCACGGCCTCTGTCTCTCCCTCCTCCTGCTCCTCCACCCTCTTGGCCTTGAGCAGGGGTCCATCCTTCAGGGAGTTTGAAGCAATCGCGCCACATGTGCCCGGTCTTGTGGCAATAGTGACACTCGCCGTCGAATCGGCCGCGACCGCGCCCGTAGCTCTTGTCGTCGCTGCCGTATCCGCCACTTCCGCGGCCTCCGCCGAAGTTGCTGCCACCAAACCTTCCTCCCCCTCGTCCTATGCCTCTTCCTTGGCCATATCCACGGCCGATGCTCGCTGCCCCAGCGCCATCCGCACTCGCCAACTCACGGCGGCGGAAGTCCTCTTGAAGGATCGCTCGTTTCACATCTTCAAGCGAGAGGCGGGTCAGGTCACGATTCAAATTGATGATGAGTGAGGACCACGAATCGGGGAGTAGGGCCAGCAACTTGGTCTTCTTCTGGAGCTCACCGTAGTTCAAATCAGCTCCCTCTAGCCGCGTCAACAAGTCGAAGAATTTCTGCACCCCGTCTTCCACGGGTTCATCTTCCTCAATTCGTAGCGTCGCCATTTGCCGTTCCAACACCACAGCTACCGCCGCTGTTGCAGGAGCGTGTACACCCTTGAGAGCAGCCCATGCCTTTGGTCCCTTCTCTGGTTCACGCTGGAATGGCTTGATGTGACGGATCTGGTTGCTCCCCAACGCTTGCCCAAGTAGGAGGTAGCCTTGTGCGCTCTTCCGCACCCACGGGCTCTTCTCCGGGTCGTTATCGAGACGCTTCTTCGTTCCTTCCATTACCTCCAGCAGGTCATAATGGTCGAACACATTCTCCATTCTGAAGGACCACTCAGCAAAGTTGTCACCGTTGAACTTGTCAAGCCCGAACACTCTTGGTTCATCCCTAGAAGGTCCAAGAGTCGGTTGCACGGGCGCCACGGCTGAATCATGGGCTTGGCCTTGTGCTTGGGCTTCTCCATTGCCTTCAGCACCTCTGCCACCCCTCTCTTCAGGTCCAGCCATCGTCGTAGCTGCTCCAAGGCGCTCTGATACCACTTGTTATAGTCACAATAGGCTTCAATGTGCCTATAACGAAAGATAGGGTGCACAGTCGTAATTCCGCACAGCGGCTTTAAACGTTCATAGAGATCTGGTCACGGCTTCAAATGACCTCATTCAACTTGGATCTGGAGCGTCTTTACGTCGCCTACAATAATCAATTTAGATCGCACGATTTCATCAAAAATTGATAACACAGCGTCATATCGAACGAACGGCACTATGGCAGCAACATAGTCTTAGAAGACACAATTACGAACAGCTAGGAAGAGTTGCGAGTTGGGAAGGACTCCCAGCTCCTACAAACCCCAAGAGCTGAGGTACAGTGATGGGGAACAGTGCCACACTGTCCCCAACCAAGAAGGGTCTCGAAACTACCCTTCACAAGGGCCTACACCAACTGCAATGTTACACTACACTTTGTAATGTAACTATCTTCAATCTCTTGAGGTGTAGCCTTTTGGCGAGCTTCGAAAACACTTGAAGCTTGAACCAAGGCTCGGGTTCTTCATCACAAAACTCATCCTTGAGTTCTTGATGGGTCTGCTGCACACACCTGCGACACGCCGAACGTTCGACACAGGACAAAATAGAAACCGCGCACGGGACACACGACAAAATAGAAAACGCGCGCGAGACACAAATGACCACATTAACACGCGGCTAGCGATAACTCGCTATTGACTCGACACACACACTCGACATCATGACCCATCATACACACACCATTATAAGCATGAAATATATATTAATTTCATGCACTCATACCACTCCATCCACACACGCATGCACGCACACACACACGGACAACAAGCCGAGTGCAAACCGTAGGGTTGCACCAATACTGGGGAGAGCATCGCGACGCTCTGAGGCGTCCGGGGAGAGCATCGCGACGCTTTGGGGCGTCCGGAAAAAGCATCGCGATGCTTCGGGGCGGCTGAGAGAGCATCGCGATGCTCTGTGGCGTCCGGGGAGAGAATCGCAACGCTCTGGGGCGGCAAGGGAGAGCATCGTGATGATCTGGGGCGTCCGGGGAGAGCATCGCGACGCTCTGGGGCGTCCGGGGAGAGCATCGCGACGCTCTGGGGTGGCTGGGGAGAGCACCGCGACGCTCTACGGCGTCCGGGGAGAGCATCGCGACGCTCTGGGGCGTCCGGACAGAGCATCGCGATGCTCCGGGGCGGCTGGGGAGAGCATCGCGATGCTCTGGGGCGTCCGGAGAGAGCATCGCGACGCTTTGGGACGTCCGGAGAGAGCATCGCGACGCTCTGGGGCGTCCGGGGAGAGCATCGCGACACTCTGGGGCGTCCGGGGAGAGCATCGCGATGCTCCAGGGCGCTACGGAGAGCATCGCGATGCTCTGGGGCGTCCGGGGAGAGCATCGCGACGCTCTGGGGCGTCCAAGGAGAGCATCGCGATGCTCTGGGTCGTCCAGGGAGAGCATCACGACGCTCTAGGGCGTCCGGGGAGAGCATCGCGATGCTCTGGGGCGTCCGGGGAGAGCATCGCGACGCTCTAGGGCGTCCGGGGAGAGCATCGCGACGCTCTGGGGCGTCCGGGGAGAGCATCGCGACGCTCTGGGGCGGCTGGGGAGAGCATCGCGACGCTCTGGGGCGCCCGGGGAGAGCATCGCGACGCTCTGGGGCGTCCGGGGAGAGCATCGCGACGCTCTGGGGCGTCAAGGGAGAGCATCGCGACGTTCTGGGGCGTCCGGGGAGAGCATCACGATGCTCTGGGGCGTCCGAGGAGAGCATCGCGACGCTCTGGGGCGTCCGGGGAGAGCATTGCGATGCTCCGGGGCAGCTGGGGAGAGCATCGCGATGCTTTGGGGTGTGTGGGGAGAGCATCGTGACGCTCTAGGGCGTCTGGGGAGAGCATCGCGACGCTCTGGGGCGTCCGTGGAGAGCATCGCGACGCTCTGGGGCGGTTGGGGAGAGCATCGCGACGCTCTAGGGCGTCTGAGGAGAGCATCGCGACGTTTTGTGGCGTCCGGGTAGAACATCGCGATGCTCTGGGGCGTCCGAGGAGAGCATCGCGACGCTCTGGGGCGTCCGGGGAGAGCATCGCGATGCTCTGGGGCGGCTGGGGAGAGTATCGCGATGCTTTGGGGCGTCCGGGGAGAACATCGCGACGCTCTAGGGCGTCCGGGGAGAGCATCGCGACGCTTTGGGGCGTCCGGGGAGAGCATCGCGACGCTCTGGGGCGTGCGCTGAGAGAATCGCGACGCTCTGGGGCGTCCGCGGAGAGAATCGCGACGCTCTGGGGCGTCCGGGGAGAGCATCGCGATGATTTGGAGCGTCCGGGTAGAGCATCACTACGCTCTGGGGCGTCCGGGGAGAGCATCGCGACGCTCTGGGGCGTCCGGGGAGAGCATCGCGACGCTCTGGGGCGTCCGGGCAGAGCATCGCGACGCTCTGGGGCGTGCGGAGAGAGTATCGCGACGCTCTGGGGCGTCCGGGGAGAGCATCGCGACGCTCCGGGGCGTCCGGGGAGAGCATCGCGACGCTCCGGGGCGTCCGGGGAGAGCATCGCGACGCTCTGGGGCGTCCGGGAAGAGCATCGCGACGCTCTGGGGCGTCCCGGGAGAGCATCGCGACGCTCTGGGGCGGTTGGGGAGAGCATCGCGACTCTCTGGGGCGTCCGGGGAGAGCATCACGACGCTTTGGGGCGTCTGGGGAGAGCATCGCGATGCTCCGGGGAGGCTGGGGAGAGCATCGCGATGCTCTAGGGCGTCCGGGGAGTGCAACGCGATGCTCCGGGGCGGCTGGGGAGAGCATCGCGATTCTCTGGGGCGTCCGGGGAGAGCATCGCGGCGCTCTGGGCGTCCGGGGAGTGCATCGCGACGCTCTGTGGCGTCCGGGGAGAGCATCGCGACGCTCTGGGGCGTCCGGGGAGAGCATCGCGACGCTCTAGGGCGTCCGAGGAGAGCATCGCGACGTTTTGTGGCGTCCGGGGAGAACATCGCGATGCTCTGGGGCGTCCGAGGAGAGCATCGCGACGCTCTGGGGCGTCCGGGGAGAGCATCGCGATGCTCTGGGGCGGCTGGGGAGAGTATCGCGATGCTTTGGGGCGTCCGGGGAGAACATCGCGACGCTCTAGGGCGTCCGGGGAGAGCATCGCGACGCTTTGGGGCGTCCGGGGAGAGCATCGCGACGCTCTGGGGCGTCCGCGGAGAGAATCGCGACGCTCTGGGGCGTCCGCGGAGAGAATCGCGACGCTCTGGGGCGTCCGGGGAGAGCATCGCGATGATTTGGAGCGTCCGGGTAGAGCATCGCTACGCTCTGGGGCGTCCGAGGAGAGCATCGCGACGCTCTGGGGCGTCCAGGGAGAGCATCGCGACGCTCTGGGGCGTCCGGGCAGAGCATCGCGACGCTCTGGGGCGTGCGGGGGAGAGTATCGCGACGCTCTGGGGCGTCCGGGGAGAGCATCGCGACGCTCCGGGGCGTCCGGGGAGAGCATCGGGACGCTCCGGGGCGTCCGGGGAGAGCATCGCGACGCTCTGGGGCGTCCGGGAAGAGCATCGCGACGCTCTGGGGCGTCCCGGGAGAGCATCGCGACGCTCTGGGGCGTCTGGGGAGAGCATTGCGACGCTCTGGGGCGTCCGGGGAGAGCATCGCGACGCTCTGGGGCGTCCGGAGAGAGCATCTCGATGCTCCGGGGCTGCTAGGGAGAGCATTGCGATGCTCTGGGGCGTCCGGGGAGAGCATCGCGACGCTCTGGGGCGTCCGGGGAGAGCATCGCGATGCTTTGGGGCGTCCGGGGAGAGCATCGCGACGCTCTGGGGCGTCAGAGGAGAGCATCGCGTCGCTGTGGGGCGGCGGGGGAGAGCATCGCGACGCTCTGGGGCGTCCGGGGAGAGCATCACGACGCTCTGGGGCGTCTGGGGAGAGCATCGCGATGCTCTTGGGCGTTCGGGGAGAGCATCGCGACGCTCTGGGGCGTCCGGGGAGAGCATCGCGATGCTCCGGGGCGGATGGGGAGAGCATTGGATGCTATGGGGCGTCCGGGGAGAGCATCGCGACGCTCTGGGGCGTCCGGGGAGAGCATCGCGACGCTCTGGGGCGTCCGGGGAGAGCATCGTGACGCTCTGGGGCGTCCGGGGAGAGCATTGCGACGCTCTCGGGCGTCCGGGGAGAGCATCGCGACGCTCTGGGGCAGCTGGGGAGAGCATCGCGACGCTCTGGGGCGTCCGGGAAGAGCATCGCGACGCTCTGGGGCGTCCGGGGAGATCATCTCCATTCTTTGGGGTTTCCGGGGAGAGCATCGCGACGCTCTTGGGCGTCCGGGGAGAGCATCGCGACACTCTTCGGCGTCCGGGGAGAGCATCGTGACGCTCTGGGGCGGCGGGGAGAGCATCGCGACGCTTTGGGGCGTCCGGGGAGAGCATCACGACGCTCCGGGACGTCCGGGGAGAGCATCGCAATGCTCTGGGGCGTTTGGGGAGAGCATCGCGACGCTCTGGGGCGTCCGGGGAGAGCATCGCGACGCTCTGGGGCGTCCGGGGAGAGAATCGCGACGCTCTGGGGCATCGGGGGAAAGCATCGCGACGTTCTGGGGCGTCCGGGGAGAGCATCGCGATGCTCTGGGGCGTCCGAGGAGAGCATCGCGACGCTCTGGGGCGTCCGTTGAGAGCATCGCGATGCTCCGGGGCAGCTGGGGAGAGCATCGCGATGCTCTGGGGCGTGTGGGGAGAGCATCGCGACGCTCTGGGGCATGCGGGGAGAGCATCGCGACGCTCTGGGGCGTCCGGGGAGAGCATCGCGACGCTCTGGGGCATCCGGGGAGAGCATCGCGATGCTCTGGGGCGTCCGGGGAGAGCATCGTGACGCTCTGGGGCGGTTGGGGAGAGCATCGCGACGCTCTGGGGCGTCCGGGGAGAGCATCGCGATGCTCCGGGGCGGCTGGGGAGAGAATCGCGATGCTCTGTGGCGTCCGGGGAGAGCATCGCGACGCTCTGGGGCGTCCGGGGAGAGCATCGCGACGCTCAGGGGCGTCTGGGGAGAGCATCACGACGCTCTGGGGCGTCCGGGGAGAGCATCGCGATGCTTTAGGGCGTCAGAGGAGAGCATCGCGTCGCTCTGGGCGGCGGGGAGAGCATCGCGACGCTCTGGGGCGTTTGGGGAGAGCATCGCGATGCTTGGGGGCGTCCGGGGAGAGCATCGCGACGCTCTCGGGCGTCCGGGGAGAGCATCGCGATGCTCCGGGGCGGCTGGGGAGAGCATTGGATGCTCTGGGGCGTCCGAGGAGAGCATCGCGACGCTCTGGGGCGTCCGTGGAGAGCATCGCAATGCTCTGGGGCGTTTGGGGAGAGCATCGCGACGCTCTGGGGCGTCCGGGGAGAGCATCGCGACGCTCTGGGGCGTCCGGGGAGAGAATCGCGACGCTCTGGGGCGTCGGGGGAAAGCATCGCGACGTTCTGGGGCGTCCGGGGAGAGCATCGCGATGCTCTGGGGCGTCCGAGGAGAGCATCGCGACGGTTTGGGGCGTCCGGGGAGAGCATCGCGACGCTCTGGGGCGTCCGCGGAGAGCATTGCGACGCTCTGGGGCGTCCGGGGAGAGCATCGCGACGCTCTAGGGCAGCTCAGGAGAGCATCGCGACGCTCTGGGGCGTCCGGGGAGAGCATCGCGATGCTCCGGGGCGGCTGGGGAGAGAATCGCGATGCTCTGTGGCGTCCGGGGAGAGCATCGCGACGCTCTGGGGCGTCCGGGGAGAGCATCGCGACGCTCAGGGGCGTCTGGGGAGAGCATCACGACGCTCTGGGGCGTCCGGGGAGAGCATCGCGATGCTTTAGGGCGTCAGAGGAGAGCATCGCGTCGCTCTGGGCGGCGGGGAGAGCATCGCGACAATCTGGGGCGTTTGGGGAGAGCATCGCGATGCTTGGGGGCGTCCGGGGAGAGCATCGCGACGCTCTCGGGCGTCCGGGGAGAGCATCGCGATGCTCCGGGGCGGCTGGGGAGAGCATTGGATGCTCTGGGGCGTCCGAGGAGAGCATCGCGACGCTCTGGGGCGTCCGTGGAGAGCATCGCAATGCTCTGGGGCGTTTGGGGAGAGCATCGCGACGCTCTGGGGCGTCCGGGGAGAGCATCGCGACGCTCTGGGGCGTCCGGGGAGAGAATCGCGACGCTCTGGGGCGTCGGGGGAAAGCATCGCGACGTTCTGGGGCGTCCGGGGAGAGCATCGCGATGCTCTGGGGCGTCCGAGGAGAGCATCGCGACGGTTTGGGGCGTCCGGGGAGAGCATCGCGACGCTCTGGGGCGTCCGGGGAGAGCATTGCGACGCTCTGGGGCGTCCGGGGAGAGCATCGCGACGCTCTAGGGCAGCTCAGGAGAGCATCGCGACGCTCTGGGGCGTCCGGGGAGAGCATCTCGATGCTCTGGGGCGTCCGGGGAGAGCATCGCGACGCTCTGGGGCGTCCGGGGAGAGCATTGCGACGCTCTTGGGCGTCCGGGGAGAGCATCGCGACGCTCTGGGGCGGCGGGGAGAGCATCGCGACGCTTTGGGGCGTCCGGGGAGAGCATCACGATGCTCTGGGGCGTCCGGGGAGAGCATCGCGATGCTCTGGGGCGTCCAGGGAGAGCATCGCGACGCTCTGGGGCGGTTGGGGAGAGCATCGCGACGCTCTGCGGCGTCCGGGAAGAGCATCGCGACGCTCTAGGGCGTCCGGGGAGAGCATCGCGATGCGCTGGGGCGTCCGGGGAGAGCATCGCGACGCTCTGGGGCGTCCGGGGAGAGCATCGCGATGCTCCGGGGCGGCTGGGGAGAGTATCGCGATACTCTGGGGCGTCTGGGGAGAACATCGCGACGCTCTGGGGCGTTTGGGGAGAGCATCGCGACGCTCTGGGGCGTCCGCGGAGAGCATCGCGAAGCTCTGGGGCGTCCGCGGAGAGAATCGCGACGCTCTGGGGCGTCCGGGGAGAGCATCGCGACGCTCTGGGGCGTCCGGGGAGAGCATCGCGACGCTCTGGGGCGTCCGGAGAGAGCATTGCGACGCTCTGGGGCGTCCGGAGAGAGCATCGCGATGCTCTGGGGCAGCTGGGGAGAGCATCTCGACGCTCTGGGGCGTCCGGGGAGAGCATTGCGACGCTCTGGGGCGTCCGGGGAGAGCATCTCGATGCTCTAGGGCGTCCGGGGAGAGCATCGCGACGCTCTGGGGCGTTTGGGGAGAGCATCGCGACGCTCTGGGGCGTCCGGGGAGAGCATCGCGATGCTCTGGGGCGTCCGGGGAGAGCATCGCGACGCTCTGGGGCAGCTGGGGAGAGCATCGCGACGCTCTGGGGCGTCCGCGGAGAGCATCGCGACGCTCTGGGGCGTCCGGAGAGAGCATCGCGATGCTCCGGGGCGGCTGGGGAGAGCATCGCGATGCTCTGCGGCGTCCGGGGAGAGCATCGCGACGCTCTAGGGCGTCCGAGGAGAGCATCGCGATACTCCGGGGCGGCTGGGGAGAGTATCGCGATGCTCTGGGGCGTCCGGGGAGAACATCGCGACGCTCTGGGGCGTTCGGGGAGAGCATCGCGACGCGCTGGGGCGTCCGGGAAGAGCATCGCGACGCTCTGGGGCGTCCGCGGAGAGAATCGCAACGCTCTGGGGCGTCCGGGGAGAGCATCGCGATGATATGGGGCGTCCGGGGAGAGCATCGCGACGCTCAGGGGCGTCCGGGGAGAGCATCGCGACGCTCTGGGGCGTCCAGAGAGAGCATCGCGATGCTCCGGGGCGGCTGGGGAGAGCATCGTGATGCTCTAGGGCGTCCGAGGAGAGCATCGCGACGCTCTGGGGCGTCCGGGGAGAGCATCGCGACGCTCTGGGGCGTCCGGGGAGAGCATCGCGACGCTCTGGGGCGTCCGGGGAGAGCATCGCGATGCTCCGGGGCGGCTGGGGAGAGCATTGGATGCTCTGGGGCGTCCGGGGAGAGCATCGCGACGCTCTGGGGCGTCCGAGGAGAGCATCGCGACGCTCTCGGGCGTCCGGAGAGAGCATTGCGACGCTCTAGGGCGTCCGGAGAGAGTATCGCGACGCTCTGGGGCAGCTGGGGAGAGCATCGTGACGCTCTGGAGCGTCCGGGGAGAGCATCGCGACGCTCTGGGGCGTCCGAGGAGAGCATCGCGATGCTCTGGGGCGTCCGGGGAGAGCATCGCGACGCTCTGGGGCAGCTGGGGAGAGCATCGCGACGCTCTGGGGCCTCCGCGGAGAGCATCGCGACGCTCTGGGGCGTCCGGAGAGAGCATCGCGATGCTCCGGGGCGGCTGGGGAGAGCATCGCGATGCTCTGCAGCGTCCGGGGAGAGCATCGCGACGCTCTAGGGCGTCCGGGGAGAGCATCGCGATACTCCGGGGCGGCTGGGGAGAGTATCGCGATGCTCTGGGGCGTTCGGGGAGAGCATCGCGACGCGCTGGGGCGTCCGGGAAGAGCATCGCGACGCTCTGGGGCGTCCGCGGAGAGAATCGCAACGCTCTGGGGCGTCCGGGGAGAGCATCGCGATGATATGGGGCGTCCGGGGAGAGCATCGCGACGCTCAGGGGCGTCCGGGGAGAGCATCGCGACGCTCTGGGGCGTCCATTGAGAGCATCGCGATGCTCCGGGGCGGCTGGGGAGAGCATCGTGATGCTCTGGGGCGTCCGAGGAGAGCATCGCGACGCTCTGGGGCGTCCGGGGAGAGCATCGCGACGCTCTGGGGCGTCCGGGGAGAGCATCGCGACGCTCTGGGGCGTCCGGGGAGAGCATCGCGATGCTCCGGGGCGGCTGGGGAGAGCATTGGATGCTCTGGGGCGTCCGGGGAGAGCATCGCGACGCTCTGGGGCGTCCGAGGAGAGCATTGGACGCTCTGGGGCGTCCGGAGAGAGCATTGCGACGCTCTAGGGCGTCCGGAGAGAGTATCGCGACGCTCTGGGGCAGCTGGGGAGAGCATCGCGACGCTCTGGAGCGTCCGGGGAGAGCATCGCGACGCTCTGGGGCGTCCGGGGAGAGCATCTCGATGCTCTAGGGCGTCCGGGGAGAGCATCCCGACGCTCTGGGGCGTTCGGGGAGAGCATCACGACGCTCTGGGGCGTCCGGGGAGAGCATCGCGACGCTCTGGGGCGTCCGGGGAGAGCATCGCGACGCTCTGGGGCAGCTGGGGAGAGCATCGCGACGCTCTAGGCCGTCCGAGGAGAGCATCGCGACGCTCTGGGGCGTCCGGGGAGAGCATCGCGATGCTCCGGGGCGGCTGGGGAGAGCATCGCGATTCTCTGCGGCGTCCGGGGAGAGCATCGCGACGCTCTGGGGCATGCGGGGAGAGCATCGCGACGCTCTGGGGCGTCCGGCGAGAGCATCACGACGCTCTGGGGCGTCCGGGGAGAGCATCGCGACGCTCTGGGGCGTCCGGGGAGAGCATCGCGACGCTCCGAGGCGGTTGGGGAGAGCATCGCGACGCTCTGGGGCGTCCGGGGAGAGCATCGCGACGCTCTGGGGCGTCCGGAGAGAGCTTCGCGATGCTGTGGGGCGTCCGCGGAGAGCATCGCGACGCTCTGGGGCGTCCGGGGAGAACATCGGGATGGTCCGGGGCGGCTGGGGAGAGTATCGCGATGCTCTGGGGCGTCCGGGAAGAACATCGCGACAACCTGGGGCGTCTGGGGAGAGCATCGCGACGCTCTGAGGCGTCCGAGGAGAGCATCGCGACGCTCTGGGGCGTTCGCTGAGAGAATCGCGACGCTCTGGGGCGTCCGGGGAGAGCATCGCGACGCTCTGGGGCGTCCGGGGAGAGCATCGCGACGCTCTGGGGCGTTCGGGGAGAGCATCGCGACGCTCTGGGGCGTCCGGGGAGAGCATCGCGACGCTCTGGGGCGGTTGGGGAGAGCATCGCGACGCTCTGGGGCGTTCGGGAACAGCATCGCGATGCTCCGGGGCGGGTGGGGAGAGCATCGCGATGCTCTACGGCGTCCGGGGAGAGCATCGCGACGCTCTGGGGCATGCGGGGAGAGCATCGCGACGCTCTGGGGCGTCCGGGGAGAGCATCGCGACGCTTTGGGGGGTCTGGGGAGAGCATCGCGACGCTCTGGGGCGTCCGGGGAGAGCATCGCGACGCTTCGGGGCGGTTGGGGAGAGCATCGCGACGCTCTAGGACGTTCGGGGAGAGCATCGCGACGCTCTGGGGCGTCCGGGGAGAGCATCGCGACGCTCTGGGGCGTCCGGGGAGAGATTCGCGACGCTCTGGGGCAGCTGGGGAGAGCATCGCGACGCTCTGGGGAGTCCGCGGAGAGCATCGTGACGCTCTGGGGCGTCCGGAGAGAGCATCGCGATGCTCCGGGGCGGCTGGGGAGAGCATCGCGATGCTCTCCGGCGTCCGAGGAGAGCATCGCGACGCTCTAGGGCGTCCGGGGAGAGCATCGCGATGCTCCGGGGCGGCTGGGGAGAGTATCGCGATGCTCTGGGGCGTTCGGGGAGAACATCGCGACGCTCTGGGGCATCCGGGGAGAGCATCGCGACGCTCTGGGGCGTCCGGGAAGAGCATCGCGACGCTCTGGGGCGTCCGTGGAGAGAATCGCGACGCTCTGGGGCGTCCGGGGAGAGCATCGCGATGATCTGGGGCGTCCGGGGAGAGCATCGCGACGCTCTGGGGCGTCAGGGGAGAGCATCGCGACGCTCTGGGGCGTCCAGAGAGAGCATCGCGATGCTCCGGGGCGGCTGGGGAGAGCATCGTGATGCTCTGGGGCGTCCGAGGAGAGCATCGCGACGCTCTGGGGCGTTCGGGGAGAGCATCGCGACGCTCCGGGGCGTCCGGGGAGAGCATCGCGACGCTCTGGGGCGTCCGGGGAGAGCATCGCGACGCTCTGGGGCGTCCGGGGAGAGCATCGCGATGCTCCGGGGCGGCTGGGGAGAGCATTGGATGCTCTGGGGCGTCCGGGGAGAGCATCGCGACGCTCTGGGGCGTCCAGAAAGAGCATCGCGATGCTCCGGGGCGGCTGGGGAGAGCATCGTGATGCTCTGGGGCGTCCGAGGAGAGCATCGCGACGCTCTCGGGCGTCCGGAGAGAGCATTGCGACGCTCTAGGGCGTCCGGAGAGAGTATCGCGACGCTCTGGGGCAGCTGGGGAGAGCATCGTGACGCTCTGGAGCGTCCGGGGAGAGCATCGCGACGCTCTGGGGCGTCCGAGGAGAGCATCGCGATGCTCTGGGGCGTCCGGGGAGAGCATCGCGACGCTCTGGGGCAGCTGGGGAGAGCATCGCGACGCTCTGGGGCCTCCGCGGAGAGCATCGCGACGCTCTGGGGCGTCCGGAGAGAGCATCGCGATGCTCCGGGGCGGCTGGGGAGAGCATCGCGATGCTCTGCAGCGTCCGGGGAGAGCATCGCGACGCTCTAGGGCGTCCGGGGAGAGCATCGCGATACTCCGGGGCGGCTGGGGAGAGTATCGCGATGCTCTGGGGCGTTCGGGGAGAGCATCGCGACGCGCTGGGGCGTCCGGGAAGAGCATCGCGACGCTCTGGGGCGTCCGCGGAGAGAATCGCAACGCTCTGGGGCGTCCGGGGAGAGCATCGCGATGATATGGGGCGTCCGGGGAGAGCATCGCGACGCTCAGGGGCGTCCGGGGAGAGCATCGCGACGCTCTGGGGCGTCCATTGAGAGCATCGCGATGCTCCGGGGCGGCTGGGGAGAGCATCGTGATGCTCTGGGGCGTCCGAGGAGAGCATCGCGACGCTCTGGGGCGTCCGGGGAGAGCATCGCGACGCTCTGGGGCGTCCGGGGAGAGCATCGCGACGCTCTGGGGCGTCCGGGGAGAGCATCGCGATGCTCCGGGGCGGCTGGGGAGAGCATTGGATGCTCTGGGGCGTCCGGGGAGAGCATCGCGACGCTCTGGGGCGTCCGAGGAGAGCATTGGACGCTCTGGGGCGTCCGGAGAGAGCATTGCGACGCTCTAGGGCGTCCGGAGAGAGTATCGCGACGCTCTGGGGCAGCTGGGGAGAGCATCGCGACGCTCTGGAGCGTCCGGGGAGAGCATCGCGACGCTCTGGGGCGTCCGGGGAGAGCATCTCGATGCTCTAGGGCGTCCGGGGAGAGCATCCCGACGCTCTGGGGCGTTCGGGGAGAGCATCACGACGCTCTGGGGCGTCCGGGGAGAGCATCGCGACGCTCTGGGGCGTCCGGGGAGAGCATCGCGACGCTCTGGGGCAGCTGGGGAGAGCATCGCGACGCTCTAGGCCGTCCGAGGAGAGCATCGCGACGCTCTGGGGCGTCCGGGGAGAGCATCGCGATGCTCCGGGGCGGCTGGGGAGAGCATCGCGATTCTCTGCGGCGTCCGGGGAGAGCATCGCGACGCTCTGGGGCATGCGGGGAGAGCATCGCGACGCTCTGGGGCGTCCGGCGAGAGCATCACGACGCTCTGGGGCGTCCGGGGAGAGCATCGCGACGCTCTGGGGCGTCCGGGGAGAGCATCGCGACGCTCCGAGGCGGTTGGGGAGAGCATCGCGACGCTCTGGGGCGTCCGGGGAGAGCATCGCGACGCTCTGGGGCGTCCGGAGAGAGCTTCGCGATGCTGTGGGGCGTCCGCGGAGAGCATCGCGACGCTCTGGGGCGTCCGGGGAGAACATCGGGATGGTCCGGGGCGGCTGGGGAGAGTATCGCGATGCTCTGGGGCGTCCGGGAAGAACATCGCGACAACCTGGGGCGTCTGGGGAGAGCATCGCGACGCTCTGAGGCGTCCGAGGAGAGCATCGCGACGCTCTGGGGCGTTCGCTGAGAGAATCGCGACGCTCTGGGGCGTCCAGGGAGAGCATCGCGACGCTCTGGGGCGTCCGGGGAGAGCATCGCGACGCTCTGGGGCGTTCGGGGAGAGCATCGCGACGCTCTGGGGCGTCCGGGGAGAGCATCGCGACGCTTTGGGGCGGTTGGGGAGAGCATCGCGACGCTCTGGGGCGTTCGGGAACAGCATCGCGATGCTCCGGGGCGGGTGGGGAGAGCATCGCGATGCTCTACGGCGTCCGGGGAGAGCATCGCGACGCTCTGGGGCATGCGGGGAGAGCATCGCGACGCTCTGGGGCGTCCGGGGAGAGCATCGCGACGCTTTGGGGGGTCTGGGGAGAGCATCGCGACGCTCTGGGGCGTCCGGGGAGAGCATCGCGACGCTCCGGGGCGGTTGGGGAGAGCATCGCGACGCTCTAGGACGTTCGGGGAGAGCATCGCGACGCTCTGGGGCGTCCGGGGAGAGCATCGCGACGCTCTGGGGCGTCCGGGGAGAGATTCGCGACGCTCTGGGGCAGCTGGGGAGAGCATCGCGACGCTCTGGGGAGTCCGCGGAGAGCATCGTGACGCTCTGGGGCGTCCGGAGAGA